GGACAGGCTAGACAAAACGGTTAGTCAACTCGACCATACACTCCAACGATCTTCACGGATATTAGGTATGCCGCATGCATGTCTACCGTCGAAAAGAGCCGCGGAAGGGGTGTTGAGTTGCCACGAAAAGCACCCATAGACTACTCCTAGTGTTTGGTACCTGAGGCTCTGCACAGGTACTTGCTGCGCCGATGGCTGACCGTTCCGAGGGGTAATCAGTACCGGAAGCCAGCTCAAGGTGTTTATCCGATGTTGACATGGGAGCTTGTACTTCAAGCTGATGTACCCGCCCGGTATACGGGCCTTCTGGGAGGGGTTAGAGTTGTCGCGTGAGGGGATTGACTTGCGCTTATGTACTGCATCGCGAGGCTAGATGCGACCTCCGATTATTGGTGGTGTAGGAAGCTCTTTGCTTGTTGCTTCACTTTTGTATCCAGGTATTCTGTGTTTGAAAATTTTCTTCCTGCTTACTCTCTGACCGCTTAGGTAGATCTTCACGACCAAGAAACTTGGACTGCGTCTTGCTACAGCAGTACGAACCTGACGCATCTGAATACGGCGTATGCTAGTAGCATTTCTTGCTAATACTTTACGAAGGCCATCAGTTTCTACGCCTGATATCTCGCTTCAATATATCGAACGCTTTTCGTTGGAGGAGGAGGTTTCGCTGGACTCTTTCCACCGATACAACATCAAAACAGCACTGTTAGTATTCACATCGCCGAATCGAGCTTAGCATTCTGCCTCATTGGAGGACTCTCACGTGAGGGCGGGGTAACCTCAGACTCCTTCCAAGGCTGAACCTCCAGGTTGCCACCATACCTGAACCCTATGCGATACACATTACAGTCTCCCCTACAATCTCTTCTCCAGATTACCAGCACACTTGAACCCTATGCTACAGTTCCTTCGATACTCTTCTCTCGCTTCTTCCCGAACGACTCGGCATGTGAACAGTTGCGATGTCGTACCGCTCCGAAAGCGACGAGTACAAGTCAGCGTTAACTGACCGTTTCACCGATCTCACGGATCCAAAACCATTTGACATCCAGAATGCTAGGGTGTTCATGCATCAACCTCTTGACGACCCGAGTACCGAACTTCGGTATTTGTACCTGCTTCCAAAAAGCCACAACGTATATCTCAATGGAAAGACAATCGTCCGCTGCAAGTTTCTGTTCAATGCTAAAGAGAGGATTCCTCATTACATTGGCTTATCCTACACATGGGGTGATCCTGAGCTTCGTCATCCAATCCTTGTCGGTGACAAGATCTTCCATGCTACTGTAAATCTTGCCATCGCTCTGGAGCATCTGCAAGAAGAGGAAAAGACCGTGATATTCTGGATAGACGCCCTCTGTATCGATCAAGGCAACCTCGGCGAGAAGAGCATACAAGTACAGCGAATGGGCAATATTTTCGCGTCTGCCGCTCTTGTCCTTGCTTGGCTTGGACCTGCAGCAGATGAGAGTAACTTGGCACTACTAGAACTGGCGCGCTACAGCGATGACTCTCCGGATCTTAGTGAAAAGCTCAATCACACACCTGGCGAAAGACATACAGCTCTACCTCTTGAATCAATCAACGCTTTATGCGATCGCCCATGGTTCAAGCGCGTGTGGGTTGGCCAAGAAGTTGCGCTGAACGAACATGTTATATTTGTCTGTGGTCATCTCGATATTCTACGAGAAGAACTGCTTAGATGCCTCGAGACATACATGGTTTCCAGGTCTTTATTCGAGGGTGCCAAGCTCTCCCTAATGACCCTCAGATTTGAAGCGATAAAGGCCCTTCCTTTACGCGAGTTCTTACTTCACGAGCATGCGTCTCTTCACTTATCTTTTGGCAGTGACCTCGAGTCCTCCGATCCAAGAGACTTCATCTACAGTTCACTGGGGAGGATCAGTAGCCTTGGAGATTGCGTGCTCGATGTTGATTACACCAAACGAGTCCAGGACGTATATACGGAATTTGCTGTAGCTCTGATTCAGGTTGGGAGGGTTGACTGTCTGAGCGAAGATTGGCGTCTCTCGGTGAACTACGAGGATCTCCCATCGTGGGTTCCTGATTGGTCTAATACAAAAATATGTGGCTTTCCTCATGAGGCCATTGTGCTTGAGTACAACATTGTGGAGGTTTGCGAAACCGAAAGAGGGGGCAAAGCTCTAAAAATATCCGCTCGACGTATTACTCAAATCAGTCGTATTGATTGCAGCTTACAGTCTCAGCAAGGGACGTTTGCTTTCGGGCTTTCAACTTCTGCGATGGCCACCCAGCAAGAGGAAGAAAGAGTCATGTCATCTTTGGACACGGTCCGACAAGCGCTTAATGACAAAGAGCGATGGGGCCATGAGGATGCTGAAAGGGCTGTATACGATCTCTCAAGTGGTATGTCAATCATTAGGGACGTCAACGACAAGGATGAGATATGGAAACGCGATTTGTACGAGTCATATAAAGCTTTCCGGGGTCTTGAGACTCCACCCAGCGATGTGGCAGACCCAAAGCAGTGGCGAAGAGATGCGAGCCGTGCCTATCTCAGAGTTCTTCAGGAGTCAAATGTCAAGAACTTCTTCGTGACCGCTACGGACATTGTCGGTACAAGTCGGGATGAGGTGCAGCTCGGTGACTGGGTATGCGAACTTGGAGGTGTCCAGGGAGTACATGTCCTTCGCGAGGTAGAAGGGGGTTTTTATCGGATCGTCAGTCTTGCTCATGTCTTCCCTTGGGAAGATGTTGATAACAGCGATGCGCCAGTCGAGACCATCACAATCATTTAATACGATGGACCAAGAACACTGAGAACGAGATTCTTCATATCACGTATCATCTGGCGTATAACAAAGACATCTTGCACCCCATGGATACAATCCTACAGTGTCATACGATGTTCTCGTTATAATACTAGCAATGCAGTATTCTGATGTGAAAACGTCCCAAGCCCTTTCCTTCCCTTCCCAGTGATGACCATCCTCCAATCCTAGTATGAAACTGTCTCAAGTCCTTCCCTATCCGATGATGACCACTCTCATAACCCTCTTCTTCTCACGGCACGTAATCCTTGTCTCCTTCATCATGGTGACCTCCCTCAGCCGAGTCGGGTGTGTTGGTTTCGGAGGTCTCACATGAACCGCTCGTCTCCGGCGTGCTGTCTGGATGCTTCAGCATCCGAGTCTTCTCGCGTGCCATCTGTTTCCTCTCGGTGTCACGGTACGGTGGCTGTAGGTGTTCAGGAAGAGCTCCCTTCTTCGTAGGTATTTCTTGTGCGACCCCTTGTATCTCCCCAGCGACTCCATAATCGTATACCTGCGGGTGAAGAGCAGCAATGTGGCCCATCATGCCGTCGAGTTCCACCTCCTTCTTTATAAGTTTGAGTAGCTCCTTCCGCTTGGGGTCGTGCTCTGAGATGTTGTCGGCTTGGTGATTGATGAAGTAGGTGAATTTGGCGAGGTCTTGCTGTAGCGTCGCGGTGTGAGCGTATGTCCATTTTGGAGGCGGAAGTTGATCAGTTGACTGCTCGATTGACTGTTCGGGTGACTGTGGAGCCATTGTGCGGAAGTTCTTCGGAAAGTCCTAGACGCAGCGGTCACTCGTTCCCTAGTGCCTCTGTTCCTCGTCAACAAAGGTCCTGACAAGAGACATCCACGCCTCAGAGGATAGACGCGGAAGAAGTCTGTCCACGCCAACCTAGGAAAAAACCGAACAGCCTGGAGCCTACGTTGACGTTAGATCACCTACTTTACAGGTCTTTGTCTTGATGTAGTCTGCAGGCCTGTTCAGTTTTTTTCCTGTATGAGGTGTGTCCACACCACAGAAGCCTCGGCAAGCTCAAGTTGACGGACCTGCTTGAGTACCGTATCCTCCTCTTGGAGCGAAGCCTCGTCCACCACCTCTTGCGGGTCCTTGTGGCTGACGAACAGGTTTCTCTTGTGTGTTTGGTGTAGACGGGCGACTGATACCGGATTCTTTCTTCTGTATGAATACGGAGCCGGGCTTTGGGGTGTAGGTAGGGTCGAAGAGTTGGCGCGCAGGAGCTGCATGTGCTGTACGTGCAGGCGACTGCTCGTTGCTCGATCTAGGCTGGCTGTCCCTTCCACCGCGTCCTCGTCCTTTCCCTCGGGTAGCTTTGTTCGGGGAGTTGCTGCGCGAGTCCTCTGCAGCGGAAGCAGCTGGTGAGCCGAAGATGCGCTCTCGTGCTTCTGCGTACTTGCGCTCCTTCTCTGCTCGCTCCTTCTGTGCACGTGCTTTGCGCTCTTCGAAGTCTGCCGCTGCTTTCTTCCGTCGCTCCTCTTCACTATCGTCATCGTCGAGGCTCATGCCTGCCATGTTGCGGGAGAGAACTTGAGGAGTGGGCTTGCGTGCAAGCATCGTGACTTTCGGCTTGAAGGTTGCTGCGACGGGCGCGGGGTGGACTTCAGGGTACCATTGAGGCTCTGGGTTTTCGCTGTTTCAGTCAGGTCGCGTCGCTAATAATGAGGAATAGCAACCTACGCCGCCTGCCAAAGCTGCTTATTGAGCTCAGCGTGTTGAGCTTTGAGTTGCGCTTTTGTGAGCTTCTTTGGCTGCTCCTCTACGGGCTTCTCGTCTTCTTTCTATACGTTGTGAGCGCGTTGCTGTCAAAGAAGAGGGGCATACGTACGTCGGCGAGTGATTCCCAGTCGTCCTCCCAGGCATCGGCGGGTGTGTTCTTCGGCGCCATGATCTCTATGTGTGGTGCTCTGTCTGGCGATAGTAGAGGGAGTATTGATTCAAAAGCTTGAGTCGCGTGGAGGAGTGATTAGTCCCAAGGTATGATGTCGCCAATATTTCGAGAGTCCCCACCTTGACCCCTGCGGCGGGCCGCGATTAGCTCCTCCACCGCTATGTCATTCACTGTTGCCTTCCACCGCGACGAACCACACGCGTCGCGAACCCTTTCACCGCCGCTATCGCCCTGGAAATACCCCGGCAAATTCCTTCAACATGTCAGGTAAGCCTACACTGCGCGCCAACCACCCACCATGTCCAACAAACGACCGCGTCTCGAGCTAACCCACCCCTCAGACCGCGACGGCGACTCCACAATGCAATCGTCCCCCGCCAATGTTGCCTCGGACGATGAAATGTTCCCTGATGAAGCTCTTCCAAACCCAGCTACACCGCTCAACGCCAACCTCGCAGGCGTAAACGAAATCTCACCACCAAACTCACAATCCACAACTCGCGAGACTCTCGGCGTCAACTCAAACGGAAAGCGACCACTGTCTGGCGGTATGGCGCAAGCAGCGACGAGTAATGGTGCGGGTGGGAGTGGAACACATCAGGATGCTGAGACAGGTTATCAGTGGAGTAAGCAGGAGGATCAGCCGGGCTATGAGTGGAAGAATACGAGGGCGAGGGAGGAGGAGGCTAGGGCATTGGACAACATTGCTGACAAGGGCTCTATGATTAGGCGTAAGTGGCTTCTGACTGACCACGAAGAAGTATGCTAACAGATAGTAGTGCGATACGGTGACCCACTCGATGCTAGCATACCCTCGAAGGCGAAGCGCTGAAGGCAGTCCATGAACATGCTCGAGGAGCGCTGAAATACACACGCGAAGACTATGGTCACGACGGGGGCTGCGCAAAGCATATGGTATCATGGTTGCAAGTTGCGCGTGACACTCTGGGTATCCGACGTTACGAGCTGTACAGGCATGCGCAATGCAACGACTTCATGCAATGAGATGACTGATCGGCTTAGACAGCTTCAACATATCTCAGGAAGAATACAATATATTCAAGTCCATTCCTCGACAGGTCTTGTGTCAAACCGTACTTGCAGTCCTTCGTCCCGAACGCCGTCCCATGCAGTGATATATTCCCATCCAGACGCGACACGTCCAACTCTCAATCGCTCTCGTTCCCATCCTCGTCATCGTCATCATCCTTGTTGTCCTCCTTCTCCTCGAGCGGATCCTCCGTCAACTCCTCCCCAACAACCTCCTCCTCAATCTCGTCGTCTTCAACCTCTTCATCCTCCACATCCTGTGTCTCATCCCCCTCTTCTTCCGTAACCTCTCCATCCCCAGCATCTCCACTCTCCCTTCTAACCCTCTTCGTCGCCCTCTCACCATCGTCCGCACCCTCCATAACCACGTCTCCGTTTGCCGCTGACTTGGCCGGTGTAGAGGTAGCTGCATCGGTGGAAGCAGTAGTGCCTTTCTTCTCCTCGCGCACCTTCTTCCTGTACGTGTTCCGCTTATCGGCTTGTATCGACGTGAATTTCGTGACTTCGGCTTCGAGGCGGGGCAGCATAAAGGAGAATTCTAGGTCTGTCATTGCGTCGAAGACGTCTTTCGGCATGACGGTTTTCTTGCCGCTGGCGAGGGCTTTTTCGGCGGCGCTGCATGGTTGTTAGTAAATGTCCATTTATGGGAACTCGCATGCCATTGGCGCGTAATTCTTCTGTCGTCGGGAGGGAGTAGGAGTCGTACGTTGATGTGATGTAGTTAACAAACACAGTTGCGCTTTTGCTCATAGCAAGGAGCGCATCTTTTTGTATTTGGGTGTTTGGTGGCAGGACGCCTTTTGCCAGGCGCTGGACTATAGACTTTGGCAGATTCAGATCCTATGGTCGCGTCATTAGTACTAGTCTTGTCCAATTGACCTCAGTCGCATGCGACGTACCTCAACACCCAAGCTCTCCTCTCGGGGTACTGATCTGGGTGGTGCGGGACTCTCTTCGTTTGACACCGCGGATACATTGCTCTTCCTAGGCGGCATTGTGTCGTGTGATGCTGTATGTGAGGATCTGAAGACGACGTCGTTCGAAAGATAGCGAGTATGCGACTGCGGGGTGGCTATCTTGGGAGTGGTGAGCGTGAAGGTGCGATGCGATCGTGGATAGTTTTAGTGGACCCTGACGCGTGAGCACGCGTTGAGGTCTGGGCGCGACTACCGAAAGACGACTGGAGGCATTCCTGCGTCACCAGAACCACAACGATATCACGTACAAGGAAACTTTCGGCATGAATCAGGATCTGCTCTCAAGCTCTCAAGCAGTATAGAAAGAACCACGCGAATCAAGTTTGTGCGAGATATGCACTCTCGTGAGTTTCGATACTTCAGATCTCACAACACCCAGTAGGCAAATTCTGTACGGCGTAGAAGACTACGAGTCCTAGATACAGTTGTGCCAGGCGCTTCATTGAGGGAGTAATGTTTTTAACGCATCAGTATCAGGACCAGACATCAGCTGGTGCGCATCATTTCTACCTCGACGCGGCCAGGTATGCCCAGGCGATGTTGGCATCAACACCACAGACGCTGAGGATGAATCGCATTTAAATCGATGCAGTCTAGTTTGTATCTTCGAACTGTCTTCTCATCAACACCAACCTTCGATTACTAGAAATTACGTGTTCTCAGTGACGCATTCTCATTTCCTTCAAGTTTCTTGTAGCTAGATAAGGTTTGGGAGTATCGTCAAACACAAATCTAGGTGCGAACAATATAGTAGCAGGATCTTGCGACTCTAGAGACCAAGGCCACCAGTGCAATGTCAGCCGCATGTTCAGATGGTACGATGGCTCCCGAGGTCCTGTCCCTTATCGATACCTCGCCACGTGCGGCTCTAGTGCGATCTGAACACCCCACTAAACTAAAGCCCTCCACATCTACACCAACGCTACCTAGGTACGCCCTCGCCGGATTCAGCTCACAACATTCATTCATGTTCACCAGAGGCGCACTTCCCGTGTTCACGCCAGGATGCCGTTATCGTGGCACGAGGCGAAGCGGGCAACAAACCCGCTTCCGGAGAAGTGAGCAGCTGGACTCTCGTTCTCCCCGAGCAGCACAGGAAAATCGGTCCGCCAATTGTCGTCTTGTGGAGGCCAAGAGCCACTCGAGCGTACCCAATCTCGAAGCGAGCACCTACCGCCGCGCCGTTGCTGGATGTGGCACGCCTCGAGAAACCCCGCCCATTCTCTGCTTCTCTCCAAACTTTTGACGTTGATCCCTCAGAACAGCCGGTGCAACATGCGTCGCTAATAGATCGCTTGATCTCCAGATTTTGGATCGCGGAGTACATGTGGAGACAACCATTCCTCTGCTACCATGTCGAGGGTTCTTCTACAGATGCTAGCGGGGCGGATCTGGGGTATCAGCGTGGCTGAATCCAGACTACCAGCCAAGACAACATGGCCTGCTTGGCTGCATCCCGCTGTCCAGCACTCTGCGGAAGAATGGCTGCAAAGGGCTCTTGGGTATTCGGGCCTGTAAAAGTGATGCGGCGTAAGTTGGACAACTCGTGGACGATCGATATGATCAGGATAGGGATGAAACGGGTAGCTTGGTTCACGATTACGCCTACCACGAACATCCCTTCCATCTAGGGTTTGACAGCGCAGCCCTAACAACGTGTGCGCATACATCATGCCTTCAACCCAAAGGCTTCAAGGTAGATCCTTGGCAACCAGATGACGTTCGAAATGGCAAGGTACGCGCGGAGCCAACGGTAAGCAACATATAGGCCCAATATCCTCATGCACTCAGCCTCCCTTTCTTGGGCGGATTGCACCTTTCACCTTCCGTTATCACTATCGCAGTTGCATGCCCAGCAAATCCTCTCATCCTTGGCATACCTCCTACCCCGGCAAACGTTCTCCTAGTCTGGACTGCACCGATAACCGCGTGCCTGGAACCTGAGCGAATCGTCCACACCCACCCATCCGCTATTAAGCCCTGCGAGGTCCCTGCATTGCTGATCATCTCTTCTTCTCCCCAGCAAAAATGACGGTGCCAGCGTTGAGGGTTATTATCGATGGCGACAGCAGCAAGACGTATAGGAGCGGAGAAAAGGTCACTGGAAAGATATGTTTGGCAGTAGAAGAGCAGGAAGACATTGAGTCGCTGAAGGTGGTTTTTGCGGGTAGTTGTGTCACCAAGACATCCAGACCTCTACACGTGAACTCGAAGACCCACCCATCTGCACAAAGGCATGAATACGAGGAGAAGATACGGCTCTTCAACCGCGAGAAAGAGCTGGTTTCCTGTCGTAATCTTGGACCGCGGAAGTATTCATGGGACTTTGAGTTTGTCTTTCCAGAGTCGACCGAACCCCAAATGAAGGGCATGGTACGCGGCTGCAACTATCTTCGCGAGCCACATCCACTTCCGCCATCCTTCCAGCTCAAGACCAGTGGGCCAGGTGGTGCGGCACAAATATCATACTTCGTCCAGGCCAGACTCATTCTCAGTGGCGCGACAGAGACCAAGAGGTGTAAACACATACTACGATACCACCCAAGAACGTTAGCGGACGTACCACGAAGGGCGCAGGTCAAATCTTCTGTGCTCCACGGCCAAGTATGGAAACCGAATAAAGAGAAGGATGGATCGCGAGTCAAGAAGGTGTTCTCCGGTGTTTCTATGAACTCAACGCCGCGAATCGTTCCCACACTGAACCACCCCGAAAAGGTGTGCCCAGGACAGCATATGCCGTTGTCACTGAGCCTACTCAACGCGCGCGACCCCGCCAACCATGCCGAGCGGGAATGCATCATCGACTCCCTAACGGTCACAATCTCAACATACTCAACAATAAAGTGCGGAAACACCGTAACGGATCCCGAGGACGTTGTATCCAAGCACATCACCTGCATATCACGGACCGGCATGAACAGACCAATACTGTTCAACAAAACAACGACGTTAACGTCAAACTTCCGTCTGATCGACGACACAGAGTGCGTGCCAACATTTAAGACTTACACGATCACTCGACGCTACGCACTTGCTATATCCATCGGCATCAAATACAACGATCAGCACTTCACCATCCGTTCCAGCACACCCCTGGAGATTCTACCTCGCATACCCCGCGAACGCCTACCACCACTAGAAGACAGAGAGGACTTTGAACAGCTACCAGAGTACACACCCAGAGAGCCATCGCGAGAGTTTGCGCCAGATTACGAATCCCTATACGCGCTGTCGCGGACACCATCCAGTTCGCACTCAAATCCACTGTCCTTGGCGGGGTCAAGAAGTTCAAGTCTCTTCTCAGGGGGTTCAGCACCAAGTTCTGCAGTGTCAACACCGGGAATGGAAATCGAGCAGCCTGTATATCGTTTATAGATGTTGGAATGTAGCTCGTTGTCGCGATGTGGAGTTGGTGGGGCTAGGTCAGTTTTGATAGGACGCCATGTTGACGTTTGCCGAAAATTTTCCCTTCCGCCAACACACCCCTCTTACTTGTATGGATGCCTTTACCTCATAGATTTACTGCTCTTTTTGAGAAGAAATGAAGCTGTTGCTACCGTCGTTTGACCAAAATTTCGAGGTCTTGGATTTTCCAAATTCCACTCCTTGCATCAAACAAGGCTCGTTGGTGTAGTTGGTTATCACGTCAGTCTAACAAGAGCTTCACAGCTCGTTAGGACACTGAAGGTCCGGAGTTCAAACCTCCGATGAGTCAAGCTCGTCGGCGCTCGTAGGAGTGCATCGAACATTTTTTGTTTTTTGGTGGTGCTGGGGTATTTTTTTGCCTCTGCAACCCTACTTTTTG